CCATTCTCCTCTACTACTGGACACATCAGCGAAGTTGGGCGAGTACACACCATACATCCAGCTGTAGAAGGTCTGGATGAGGGGTGACGGTGGTGTGACTCTTGGGGTACCTGAGGCACATATGCCTTTGTGAAACTCCTTGCCCTGCCCCCTGCAGAATGTGAACGAGCTGAACCAATGGCTGTCGGCGATCCGCAAGGCCAGCATAGAGACCTCCGGCAAGCTTCCCTCATACCACCCAGGGACACATAGAGGGGGGAGGTGGACGTGCTGTCTGCAGAGCGACCGAGGAGGTGAGGAGCGCACACACACATACGCACCCACTGAAACACATGTTTGTATTCATATCTTTGTGGGGACTGTCCAGTCATTTCTATGGGAAAAACCCTAATCCCAACTATGACAACCTTAACTACTACCCAGCCCTAACCTTAGCTATAAGTAACTAAACAAAATACAAGACTTTTGATATTTTTAGTTTTTTTATTGCAGCCATAGATTTTTATAAAATTGAGTTTCTCCTTATGGGGACAAAAAAATGGTCCCCACAACATCAAAATAACTTGTGCAGGTCCCCCCTGGCTCTTCTTCCGTGACCTTGGGGGGGGGGGGGCTATTGTTAGCCATCAGGCTGGTTCTCCAGCGAGGCCTCACCTCCGCTGCCTCGGCCAGACACATCTGGCAGACGTGCTCCTGCTCCAAGCTGGCCAGCTGCTGCCTCCTGCTAGTGGGATCGCTGTTGGGGCAGACCAAGGGATTGGAAGAGCAAATGATGAGGAGACTTGGTTGCAGGAAAGAACCAGGCTCTTTTAATCAGTACTTAACAGGAATAACACAAGCATCAAACTACCACTGTGACACACACAAATTGGAAATGCAGGGAGGTCAGACACCGAAAGGAAAAACTCACACATGGTGGGTAATTTATACAGTGCGACAGACAGGGGAGGATCGGACAAGACACAGGCAAACACATACACAACAATAGGAAATACAACAAGGGGCTATTTAGAATAACACAAGGGGCTATTTACAAATACTCTTGGGGCATGCTGGGACAGCATTACAATATTAATTACTTTTTGCTAATATATTGTGTGTATTGAGTAGGGCTGTCCCACACATCTTACTCAACTCAATAAAACTATATTTAATGCTTTTGCGATATTTAAGAGTTCAATATTAAGTGCACATCCAAAGAGAACTTATCTAATATGGAAGTGTCAATAAGTTGGTGGTATTGCAGTTAATAATAATAATACATTTTATTTCAGGGCGCCTTTCAAGAACCCAAGGTCACCTTACAGACATA